CAATACTGTCAGAGAAGGACAAATAAATTATACTTGAGTACAGACCAAGCAGCTCTCGATCTATTAAAAATGACAGGGACCAGAGTCCATATATAGTTAGCCATACCCAGGTCTCCATAGTATTGAAGGCAGAAGTATCAGAACAGCAGTCTTACAGTCTTAGCCAGACCCATAAGGTGAATTTTTTTTTTCCTGTGGAAGAGGGACATGGAAAAGATTGACCTTATTTTGTCTAGGCAAAAGTGGTGCAATCAATTCTCCAATGTCCTGATGCTTGTCCACAGTCTAGACCGAGTCCTGGCAGCAGGTGTTGCACTGGGGCGCCTTGCCCAGTGGTCAGCATCGTCATAATCCAGATGGAAACATCATGGTGTCCCATAATCTTCTTTGGAGATCTCAGATCACTGCTAAGATCTGGGAGTCTCTATCTCATTTATTATTTTAAATGCCATTTTCTGCAGATCTCTGAAGTATGAGGGCTGCCTAGGTATGTCTGATTAGACAAACTTTGTTTCTAGTTACTTATTTTGACTTTGAAAACATATACAAGGTGAAAGACCCTCGCCTGCCTGTCTCAGGGAATTTCCATTGCAGCTATAGTCCAAACCAGGTCAAGTTGTTCCTAGACCAGCATAATCACCCTGAGGCCAGATGGGCCCCTACTGATGAGAAAAACAGGATATCTGTGGTCAGGCACCTGGAGGCCAACCCTTGGCCAACAGGAAGATAGAAGGGAACAGAAAGCCCAGAGGGTGCTAAAATGAGCCTTATCTGCTTTCCATGTACCTTGTCCCTGACCTGGCTCCATCGCCTTATTTGAAATGACCAATGAGAACCCTGTAACCTTGCATCTGCTTCTGTAAGCCCGCATCTTGCTGCCCCAACCCTATATAATCAGCCCGAACCTAGCCTGGTGCGCTCAGTCACCCGAAGACAGGAGCGTCCGCCAGGCGCCTGTGCGAATAATAAAGTGCCTCTTGCATTTGCATCCAGTGGACTGATCTTGGTTCTTGGGCGTCAGGGTCCTCGAGGGGAGGAGACCCAATTCAGGGGTCTTTGACGTGGAGGTTCCACCAAGATTGGGACACACACATACACACACACACCCCCTGCCCAGACCAACCAGGAGGTAAGCTGGCCAGCATCCGTTCGTCCTTGTCTGATTATTTGTTCTCAGTTTGGTTTCGTTTTAACCGTGTTGCGCAGCGTCTGTAAATCGCCTTAAATCCGTTGCCATTTGGTATTTGGGTATTTGGGCAGCCTTGAGAAGGAGCTGACGAGCTCGGACTTCTCCCCCGCCACCCTGGGGGACGCCTCAGGGATCGGGGGAGCCCGATTTTTTGAGGGCTCAATGTGAGTTCGAGGGATTCGTGCATCTGCAGGGTGAAGTTGTCATTTCCCCGTCTGATTTTGTTCTTTCGGTTTGCTACCAAAGTCGCGCTTTCGGATCTGGCATCCATCGCTGATCCTGCTTCAGTATGTGGATGATATCCTGCTAGCTGCCTCAACTGAACAAGACTGCCGTACAGGTACTGGGGCCCTTCTGCGGACCCTGGGACAGATGGGCTACAGAGCCTCTGCTAAAAAGGCCCAGATTTGTCACACTGAGATCACTTATTTGGGATGTAAATTACAGGATGGCCAACGCTGGCTGACAGCCGCGTGAAAAGAAACTATATCTCGTATCCCTACACCCTGGATCCACCGCCAGCTGCGGGAATTCCTGGGGACAGCAGGGTTCTGCCGATTTTGGATCCCAGGATTTGCAGAAATAGCAGCCCCCCTCTATTTACTGACTAAACAGGACGCCTCTTTTATTTGGACTGAGATACAGCAGCAAGCCTTTGATACAATTAAACGGGCCCTCCTCTCCTCTCCTGCCTTGGGCCTACCTGATATCACCAAGCCTTTTGACCTTTTTGTAGACGAAAAACAGGGCTTCGCACAAGGGGTCTTAACACAGAAACTTGGGCCATGGAGGCGCCCCATTGCCT